ATATGTACATAAGTATATACTTATATATGAACAGTTATGTGTTCAGGCACTATTTTTGGCTGCTCCAACAGTCCCACTCGTGCACAGATGTCGGTGTAAGTATAACTGTTAACGTATACTCGTAGAAAGCAGCTCCACAAGTTGAATCGACCTACTTATCGCGCATTTTTCATTGTTAAATAAAATATTATGACTGGCCGAGTCCTTACGAAAACGTATAAATTTTCAAGCCAATTTCGTAACAGCTCAACCGCAAAATTTACTACCAATTTGTAACGCAAGAAATAAAACAGCAGTAATTTTATAAAAATAGAAATATAGGAGTAAAGGAAATCCATATAAGGCATTTGATGTATGCCTAGCTTCTTGATAAACCACTCGCCAAACGCTTTATTCGTTTGGGGTGTAAGCTTATCTTACCCACAGAAGGAAGAATAGTACACTAGTATAGAAAATATATGTATATAGTACGTCGGCTAAACTACGTGTACAATAGACATGACCATACGCGTCCAAATCGTGACCTGCCTTTGTCCATCTGATTCTTTTAATCACTACAGTCCTATAAGGCAGCAACGCCTTTTTCGCGTCAACCCACTATGCCATAATTAATTTTAGTTAGTTAATTAATTAAATTACAATAATGCAAAAACTCAATTTAAGTAAGACAACTTTCGTAATACACGAAATATTTTTGACCGTTATTAATATGAACACAATAGATGTTTTGTGAGAAAATTTTTTTTATAAAGTCTATGGAAACAAATAGCATCATATAGGGAGTGTTGTTGAATAATTCGTGGGTTGTGAAATGTGGCTATGGATTACAAAATTATAATAAATTAATGAATTATTGAATAATATGGTACTATAGCTTACAGTCGCAACGTTTTCATTGTAAGGTAGCTTCAAGACTAACGACTCGAAATGGACCAAGTTAGAGTTAAATTTTAAATTATGCCTATGGTAACTAAAATTTCATAGTTCCCTTTACTTCGTACTCGGGATATAAAATACTCAGAGTTTTTAATTTGCGTAAAAAGAACCAATTATTCAAATATTTTTTACATTTGCTTCATTTCTGTCTGCCATATTTGGTGGAAATGTTAATTGAATATTAATATATATTACAAATTTTTGTATATACCCTGAAGTGTCTTATCCTGTGCTTAAATGAAATTTCAGAAATATTTGTATACGTAGGCGTTCAACGGGACGCACAGTTGAGTTCCGGGAAAAGAGGGTTATCCTCTAGAATCAATCCCGTTCGAACCAGGTTCAGAGAATAAGTACACCTATTATGTTTTTTTTTTTTTTTTGAAAAAAAGCAACGCAAGTAAATTTCTGGCAATGCAAATGAGTGTAGAAGGATGTATCAACATATTCGTGTATTTTTCTCTATTTGCCATATATGAACTCTTTGAGTATATGCTGGCATTTGTTTTTAGTTATCTTCTAGTTCCAAAATTTGTGTAGCGAATGACCCCTAGGCCTCTCTACTATAGACATGCTGCTGCTGACAGACACAGTTGGTCTGTGTGGGCAGCCTTCACACTTCTGACTGAGACACCCATTCAGGGTGTGTAACCAAGCCATTTAGTACCCCACATGCGAGTATTATCAACTTTTTCGTGCATACGAGTATACCCGGGACCTTGGCTTGCCGCTAGTTGCCGTCGTTTGTTTTTATTTTTATTCTCAGTGCTTTTCACCAGCACATTTTTGTCCTATTTTAAATATGCGCATAGTTTAAGTTCGTAATTATTCCAGCATTTAGTGCAGCATTTGCAGAGCTCTCTGCTCTTTCCCACCTATGTGTGCCACTAAACTGTCATGGACCCTGCATGCAGCATGCCTCATGGTCGGGATGTAGCCAGTTGTGTGTCTATGGCATAGTATGTATGTGTGTGTGTGTGTGTGTGTGTGTGTGTGTGTGCTGCGCGTGTTAAAGTGAATTTTAAATGATTTATTACTCTACCACCTCTCTCGACCATCGGCACCACAATTTCAACATTAATTTCTTGCGTTCAGACCCGAGTTGTTGCTTTCTCACTAACTTCCTCCCCCTTCAACGTTCCAGTTGGCTTTTATCCAATTTTTGTAATTTTTTCCCTCTTTGTGCGCAATTTCATTTCAATATTAATTGTTAAACGTTCCATAATTGCATTCAGCCGCCTTCAAAGTCTTATACATACTCTGCCTTTGCCTACGAGTATATAGTATACGTAAATCGCCCCTTTGGCGAGTCCTCTCAAATCCTTCTCAACTTGCTGCCCATTTTGAGTATAAGTGGAAGGACATTAGCACTCGAACTTCACTCTGTTAGTCTCAAACTTCGACGCAACTCTTACCGATGCCTCAACGAACCGCAACTTGCAACATGAACTTTCAACTTTGCTGCACCACAAGTTTCAGGGACGTGTGAGAAATGTTCGTTCACACAGGTTGGAGCGATGTTCGTTTCCAAATGTTTGAGCGCTTTATATTGCGTTACCATCCACATCCACATTATTCTCATTTGCCTTATACCAGCCAGATAAAGGGGATATAAGAGGGATATTAAAACACTGTAGACAACTGGCCAGAGAAAGATAAGAAAGTACTCTATAATTTAATAGTCGCATTGGCCTGCCTAGATCTTGTTATCTAAAATTTCCGGAATGAAATGTGGAATGGATCACAGCCTCCCCCTTGTTTAGACTTCTCGTACAGCATGTTAAATGCACGTTATTTATTTTATTTAATTTTTTAAATTATTTATTTATGTCAACAAACATATGACTGTCGACATAGGAGGAAAATATATAAAAATTATAAAAAGCATCTTATAAGCTAAAAGAAGGAGAAATCTAATCAAATTACAATAATATCAAATTAACGCGTACATTCCATGTTATGGATATACAAATATAAGTATGATTAGCATGACAAGACAAATCGAACCGTCTGAAAGTCTATCAGCATTGATAACTTTTCAAGCTTGAATTACAAAACTTTGGTTTATAGTCTCATTATTTTATATAGATCCCATTAGAACAATCTCTTGACGATTCAATCTTAATAAAATATTATTTTTATGTTCAAAAGTGTAATATATTGCGAATAAAAGAGTCCTTCTCTTGGTTAAAAAAATCCAGATATTAATCATGGGGATGATAAAGTCTACAAATCTTGATTACACATAAGTTTTTCATTTGTTGACAAGTTTCGTATCAATTGTTGAAAGCCCTTCTTTTGGTTAAGAAAATGCAGATATTAATCAAGGGGATGATAAAGTCGACAAATCTTAATCACACATAAGTTTTTCATCTGGAAAATGTTGATTAGTTTCGTGTCAATGCTGAGAGTATATCCGTATTAGTTTTAACAACACAGATATTAAATCAGGTGTCGAATTTGCGGGTGTGAGCTCAATAATTGACTAAATGAATGAATTAATAAACACATTTAATCAAAAAGCACATCAATCATACAATAACTGTGGCAAGGTAATATTTATAAAGACCCATATGCAGATTACGCTTGACATAAAAGAGGCATAAAAATAAATTGATACCGCCACGAATTTGAATGAGCAATGCATAAAATACACACGCACACTCGCTCACATGTTTGTGTGTGCATACATATATGTACATATGTATATATACAAGTAGATACATATGTATGTATGTATGTAGGCAGACTGAAGCATCAGCGCGAGTTCTGCGCCATGAATTATTTGGCCTGGTCGTCCAGGCGAGTGCATGTGAAATTTTTGGCCAAACAATTGGCAACGAAAGCAACAACCAACGATGCAGTTATGCACACACACCCATACATAAATATATATGTGTATGTATATGTATATGTATACATACATAGATATAGCAGCAATAGTAACGTGCTACTCGGTAAGTGAGTGTGTGTGTGTGTGTGTGTGTGTGTGTGTGAATATGATGCATGAAATAACAATAATGAAATGACAACAAAAGGCACGTATAACAAAAGGATTGCCGAATGGCAGGCATCAGCATCAGCATCATCAGCAACAGCGTCCACAACCAAACACACACACACATCCGCACACACATCCGCACACACACTGACATGTGAGACGGGGCAGCCAGTTGAGCTGCTGAAGAATTGTGGGCGAGTCGAGGTCGGGGCCTGAGTCTGGGTCGGGAAGGCCGTCGTCATTGCAATTCAAAATCAAATGTGATTTTTGGTCACTGTGAAAATTGTTGATTAGTGACGCTCGACTGCACATTGTACGAGTATTGCACTGAAGAGATTTCAAGAATTTCGACCAGCTCTCGCCTTTTGTTTTTTCGCTCCCCCCTCGCACACGCATACAGATTTTTTATGTATTAATAAAATCAAACGAAGCGTGCCTGACAGCAATCAATTGAAAAACAAACCTCGATAGCAATTTAATTTAAACAATTAAATGAACATAAATTAAAAATGTGGTTGAACAGCGGTTGCACCAAACAGCGACAAATTGCATGTAGCATGTTTGCTACGCTGGCACCACCAACGACTCCACCACCTCCCACCGCCCACCGCCACATCAAGTGGGCGTAGTGGTTGGCATTAATTCGAGCATATTAATACGCATTTACATGCGAATTTTGTATGTGCTTTTGGTTTTCATAACATGCCGTGCACGCATAAATAGCCGAACAGCAAACAATAAAAACCCAGCTCCATTCCGAATCTCCACAGTTGTCGTTAATCAACTGCTATATGCACACACATTACACATACGAGTATGCACATGCACATGCATGCACACGTAGACAAACCTTTGCGCCCGCTCTAAATAGATTTTTGGCCAAACACGGCCCACTTCCGATTATATAATAGCATCATTGTGCACAACGCCGTAAATATGTAAATCTGCTCTTCTGCTTTGTTGAATACAAGTGTTAAAGGAAGGCGCCATAACAATATTGTTTAATTGCAATTTTGAAAGCCAACTGGGTTTGTGTCTTTGCTCTTTGTTTGAAATAGCCGTTACTTAGCCAAGTTTCATACCATTCACGTTAATTGACATTCGCTGTGCTGCGGAGTTCTGCGCCATGGTCACCCTGAACAAAACAGCTGTTCTCCAACACATGCTGCTGAACTGCTCAATTGTTATTCAACAATACGCTCAGATTTCGGTTGCAGCGAAAAAAGTTAGATATTAAGAGTTGCAGAACAAACGAATTCAGTTCCACATGTTCACAATGCGTGCCGCACTGCCTTGCGGCAAACAATTCGCCTCAATCCTAACCAAAGCTTATCGTGGAGGCGGAAGCACAGCTACCGGCCTCAGTATCACAATTGCGGGCAGAACTGCAGCAGCTACAGCCGTGCCGCACAGATGGTATGCTGCCGGACCGGCCTCCCCAGCAGCAGCTGCCGATGATGGTGCGAAAGGTAGTGGCCTGAAGCGGATCTACTATGGCACGCTGGCGTCGCGCATGAAAGTCGTCAAGGTGTTCTCACTGACTACGAGTCTGGCTGGCTTGGCTGCGCAACCCATTTTGCTGGAGCAGGGAATGAAAATCGGTGGCACAGGCCTGGCTGTTTTCATTTGTACCACGGCCGGCTTTTTCACATTTGTCACGCCACTGCTGCTGCACTTTATAACCAAGAAGTACGTGACGGAGCTTCATTATAACCCCTCCACTGATCAATATATAGCAACAACAATATCCCTGCTGCTGCAAAAGATTGAGGTAAATGGATCGGCTAGATTATGCTTCTGGGTTTGGAAAATTTGGCTAATTGAATATTCGCTCTTTTCAGACGAAATTCCGCACCAACGATGTGACCGTGCCTGAAGTGCCCGGAATGTTCACTTCGTTTGTCGTCGGCAAGCGTGCCTTGTTTGTGGACCCGGCCCTATTTGATGATCCCGAGCACTACGTGCGCATCATGGGCTATGACAAGCCCGTTGATTTTAAGTTGGACTTGAGTGCAGACACGACCGACGATAAAAGAACAAAATCATAGATAATAAAATAAGTTGTTTGGCCTCAATTTTTAATTCGTATAGTGTGTGAAATATTAGGTAGCGTGTGAAATATTAGGTAGTATGTGAAGCGATTCGAACGATATTTGTATAACTGATTAATTCTGTATCTCAAATATTTATTCATAAGTAATATTCTCAAAGTTGTCCTGATCTTTTCACATGTAAAACACTTAATAACCTTGTCTTAAAACAGTCTCAAGATTTCCCACTAGACTGAAAATTAAAAGAATTACTTGAAGTGTTGGCGCTTCTTTGCCTTTAGGGATCATATGGTTCACGCCAAAACCCTGATTTTTTCCAAACTCAAGTCGTGTAGGTAACCGCACGGGTTGTTCTTTAAACGTTAGTATTGAAAATACATGGATATATTGAAAAGTGTTTTTTAAGTAGCCCGACTTCTGCACATTAGCCTCATTTTGAATTCCAGTTTCAATTTCTAAGGAATAGTTGATTAATAATTTGTAATTTCCTAGCAAAAATCCGTTAATGTAATTTGTACAGAGTACAATGTTGATAATAAATTAGAGTTTATTATTAAAAATAACACCTGTCTATTGGATGAACAACCGAAAGAGAACTACACAATTCAAAAATTTATGAAAAGAACTAGATCACAAAATAAACTTTTATGTGAAACAACGGTCAGCTGTGCGGCGGACACAAGAGGAAGAGCGCTAAACATAATTGCAATGAGCGCGAAGGAATTGCAAATTAATTTGGAGTTCAGGTATTTGAGCAATGTATTAAACATAATGAGCATTATTGATACTTTTTCTACTTTTCTAGTGCAGGGGCCGAGCTGTTGTTTGGCAACATTAAACGCCGCAAACTATCATTGGACGGCACGGTAAAATGTAAGTGTTGATAATAATATATATGTATGTATGTGTGTACTTTATTCTGTTTTTCTGTCCAGGGACAGTTGCTAGTTTGCTGAAATGGATGCATGCTAATATACTTACGGAGCGGCCAGAGTTATTTTTGCAAGGAGACACTGTGTAAGTGAAGAGAAGTAGACAGGCGAGCTGTGACAACTTCCTCTTCGAAGTTGATTGTAACTTTTATTTGTTCTGTTAAAGGCGACCCGGCATTTTGGTTCTGATTAATGACACGGATTGGGAACTATTGGTGAGTATTCCCCTTATTTGACTTCCATATATATACAGTTAATTACAAATCAATCCTCAGGGCGAGTTGGAGTATGAATTGCAGCCAAACGACAACGTGCTTTTCATATCGACGCTGCACGGCGGCTGAAACATTCAACAGGTTATTGCCTCTCACGTCGACTTCACTAGTCACTTGAAAAAAATACACGCTCTTTAGAATTAAGCTAAGAATAAGAAAACTAATGATGATGATTTTTTGTATAAAAAAAGAAGAAAATCATTTTTCAATCAGAATTACGTCCCTCTACCAATTACGGCAAAGGCCCACACGATGATTCGGGTTGTAAAATTTTCTTCATTTGACTACTGATGGCCGGCATCATGGTTTGTTATAAGTCTCGCCAATGGCGAATAAGCGGTTGGGAATTCCAACGCTGTGTCTGTTGCGTGCTATTTTGAAGTAGTATTTTTGTAGTACGTTACTCAACACTTGGCAACCATAGTACTGTATGGTTTCAAATTTGAAATTGAAACAATGCGAACTCGAAGCAACATTTATTTAATATATCTTTGCTTATATGCATTATTCGTATTTACTTTAAAAATATATAATTATAATTTATATTTAGGCACTTAACGTACATATTAAAAACTAAATGAACTTCTGTTTCGTGGATATGTGGGCGCTGTTATTGATATCTCTGTGTATTGAGGGGTGTGGTGATCGATTAGAACTATGAAGTATATATTTCGATTGACACAATGAATTCAATAATTTCAAATATTCAAGAAGGCCTAAACATATACATGTTAATTAAGTAAATTAAACGTTAAATGGTGCATAGAAGGCAAATAATACATGAATATTTATGACAAATTAACACAACTAAAAAGTAATAAATAATAAATAACAAATTGATCAATATATTGTAGAACATATGTATGTATATGTAAATAATAATCAGAATTGATGAAACCTTTCTCTAAAGCTAATAAACTTTCTTCTCCTCTCTAGCTGAAAATATGTATGTATGTATTTATATTGTAGTTAAATGTTAAAGAAATCCAAGCAACTATTTGCTGTGCTCCGGCGCTGCCGTCTCGGCGGCATGAGCGTACGATTTGTAGCGCCTCAGCACCACCGTGGAGGCGCCGCTCGTCGTCGATGTGGTGGATGCTGACCAGCTGGTGGCAGTCGCCTTGCTGCTCGCATGCTCTGCCGCAAGCTCCTGATCCGGCGTCAGAGAGATGTCGGAGACAATGCCGCTCTCTAGATGTGAAATGGGGGAAAAAACATGTAGCAGTGTAGTATCATTCGGGAACACACACACACACACACATATATATAAATATACGGAACATGCAGCACGAAATTGCCAAGTGTGGGGAAAGTATTTACAGTTTTGTGGCTAATAATACGGATTTGGAGGAGGTGGTGATATATACAAGTACGGGGTAGTTACAACTACAACAATAATAACAACAAGACTACTACAAACTAGAAGATAACGGGGTGCGTTTAGAAGAAGTAGCACAATTCAAGCTCTATACCCATGGACAGTTGGCTGACAATTGTCGTGGAGCGTTTGTGGTGGCGCGAGTGGCCATTCTTGCCACTTGGATGGTGGCTGTTGTTAATTGCCGCTTCGGCTGTGCCTTCGCTGTGATTGTGATTGTGGCTATGATTGTTGAGCTTCAGTGCTTGCGTCTCGTTGATGAGTTCCAGCGTGGCATTGTTGCTGTTACTGTTGCTGCTGCTGCTGGCGCTGGCGCTGGCGCTGCTATGCAACTTTCCAAAGTGTAAGCTGTGGCGCCCACTTTCATGGCCGCCGCCCGACGAGGTGCTAATCGAGGAGCTGCTCGTACCGCTGGACAGAGAACTTTCCGATATCAGGGAATTGGGACGACGCATGCTGCCTTTGCCTGGCTCAACGTGACGTAGTTTGGGCGCTGGAAGAGTTTGTCCTTCAATGATGGTTACAATTGGTTATTTGATCAAGGGGAGACACTTACTTTTGTTGAGCTGCGTCAGTGGTATGGATCGGTCATTGATCTGGTTGTTGCTGGGCCGTATGTCCAGGCACGGTTTGCTGCCGATACCCATGGAGGACATTTCAGCTAGGCGAATTTCTGAAATCCATACCAAAAATTTAGTTCGCAGGGTTGTCAGATCGCAGTGGAATCGCACGACCTTACCTCGATTTCGTTTCGCCTGCTTCCAGAGCAACTTTGAAATCTCCTCGGTCCAGGCATTCTTGATGTCCTCCGACATGCACTGCAGCATCCAAGTGTCGTCGGGTTTCCGTTTCCTAAACCAAATCTCAAACTTTGTAGGCGAGTCCCCTGTGTGCGCCGTCAGGCCAATGTCCGAGGTCTTAATGCTGTTCTTGTAGATGTAAATGTCGAGATTCTGTGCCAAGGAACAAATAATATTAGAGTATTAGTATTAGTGATCGCCTCGTCCACACTTTTAGTTCATACCTTGTGATCGGGAAAGCGTCGGGCCTTGCTGAACAGCACCAGTTCCTCAAATAGAAAGACCTGACGCAACGTTTTCTTGCCGCCGCGCCCCTGCCAGACGAGAAACTCGTTCTGACGCAGCAGACGACCCTGCTCCTTCACATTTACGTCGCAGTCGCGCAGCGAGTCCATGGCGAGCAGATCGTTGCCATGGCGCAGTTGAAACTTGACCATCTCCTCGGCCCTTTGCAGTTCCTCCACATCGGCTTGAATCTCCTGCAGAGCTGCCCCTTCCACACTATGGCAGGCTTTCACCAGCTGTTGCAGCAGTAGAGCGTACTTTCCCATTCGTTGGACAGGCTTCAGCAGATATGACGCCAGGTCCATCTTATCCTGCAGCTCCAGTTGCTTGGGCTGTGAGTAAGGAGGGAAGTTTCAAATATACACAAATATCCAAATTATTACGATTATGTATGTATACTAAATATGTATGTATGTACTGATTAATAGATATTATTTGCCTTGTACTTAGATTTTTTAATTGTTTTGTTCTATACTATTATTAGTCTTTAAATATTTTATGACAATTTTAATTTAAAAATGTAATAATCGCCCAACTCAGGGAAGATTTTAAAAATAAGATTTTAAGAAGAAGATTTTTAGATTTGATTTTTTACAACTAAACTAAGCTATTGCTGCCGTGCCACTTAGATTTGATTTGTTTAAATGCTGCAAATTGTTCATTTTATAATTTGACACCAACATAACGGAAAAGCGAACACACATTTTGATGTCTCTGATTAGATTATTATTTAACAATTGGTGTGCCCGTATTTTCTGCAGGCTTATCGCTCACACTGCAGCTGATCGATAAAATGAAAATTAAATCTCAAACAGCAATCGGAAATACCCTTAGTTTGTTGCCTGAAGTGTGGATCGCAGGTTATATACATATGTATGAAGCTAAACCTCAGTAATAGTGGAAAGGTTGAATAACGGTGAATAACGGTGAAAACATTTATAAATTTTTAGCAGAAAGTCCGAGTTGTTATTACCTTGAAGAAGGAGCTGCCATATTCGCTGAGTAGTGTATCGCTCTTCGGTTTGTTTTTGTTGTACAAGGCATACAAATAGAACTTGGATTCCATTTCCAAAAAGGCGGCGCCCACCTTTAGGGGATTGCGCTCGTAACGCTCCAGCTCGCTGAGAAAATGTGAATTGTGGAACTCAAAGATCTTCTCGATGTTGCCAAAGATGACATTGCGCTGACCTCGCAGCGGTTGCGGAATATCATCTCGGAGCAGCTCATCGATGTAGTTATCGATGACGTAGTACAGGGAGCGCACGTAGTCGCGTTCGGTACCAATCATTTCGCGCATGATCAATAGAAGCGTTCTGCAAATATGGGTCAACTTAATTAACTACTTGGACGCACGGGGCCTCTGGTCACACATACTTTTGTATTTTTGGGTCCAAACAGCTCAGTTCATCCAGCTTGGGCAGCTCCAGGCTGGATGCATGGCACTGTAGATGTGCATTCGCCTCCACAGGCGAGTGCATGTCCATGTAACGTTTTGTCGGTCGCTCGAAACACTCATCATCGAGCTCATCGCAGTTGTGACTGAAAGGAAGGATGGAAATAATTTTAGTTCAGTTGCCCAGGAGTACCTTTTCTTGAGGGAAGAGATACATATATTTGAACCTATATAGTAAGAAAGAAATCTAGAAGAGTTTTTCGAGATTTCTTAGGAGAAGCTTTTCTGATCGATTTCCCAATGTACTACCAGGAACTTTAAATAACAGTTACTACCATGATTTTTATAAGCAATACCTACTATATATCAAGTTCTGCCCTATAAGCTCTAGGCTGAAAAATATTTGAAATGTGCCAAATATATGCCACCTTACTGATCCAAATAATATACTACTTCAGAATTGGTTTCTGCTATAGCCTTAAAAGTTCAATCCGATTCTGATAACCTTTTAAGTCATCGTGAGGACGGAATTTTTCTTATAAATATCTCTGATGGCCCACTTCGTTCCACAAGAGGTGCCGTTATAGAGATTTTCACTGACCTTTTGTCGTAGACATTGTTCGCCTCGTTAAGACTCTGGCAGGAGCAGATACGCTCCAGCTTCGGATTGCCCTCGCAGCGATCGCAGACACCTACGCCAGAGTCGGCTATTTTCGATTGCTCCTCCTCGCCATCCTCCTCCTCGACGGCTGTGGCGGCCAACAACTCATCCATGTCCTCCAGGTTGCGGCTCTCGCGCCAGCAATTGCACGACTGCACACCCTCAAAGGATCCGTTGCCCGAACTGGACCGATAGCTGGAGCGTTGAGCCAGCTTTCCACTTGACGTGGGCGTGCTGCTGGTCGCGTTCAGCCCAGCACCCTTGCGGAGCGCCGCCGAGGACTTGTCCAGCCGATAGCGCTCCAGTAGCGACATGGCGCCCAATTGCTCGGCCAGACGCTGCATCTCTTCGCGTATGGCTTCCTCACGTGTGTGCTGCGTCAGCAGATGCAGGAGACGAGCTGCGCCCTCAATGCGCTCGCGGGTCTCCTCCAGCTTCTCGGCAAACTTGTCCAGCGCCGCCTTTAGGTTGCTGGCACTATCGCCCAGCACGGCCATATTATTTGCCGCCGCGTGCAGATCGCGGCCTTTGGCCAAGTGTTTCTGTATAAAGGGAATAATAGAGATTAAAAAAGTTTCCTTATTATTGTGTATTGTAATATAAGTTGTAATATACTATACGGTTGATTCTACATATATTTACTTTAACTTCGTTATTAGTTTTCCATAACCATTTTATTTAATGGATAGTAAAATATCAAAGGCAATGTCTGACTTTTACAAAATATAGAAATTAATTGATGATTTTTGGCCTAGGTTGAAGGATTTCTAAATGAATAAGGGTATCGAGCAAAGCTTAGTGGGATTTCCTTATCATAGAATCTGCTCATTCGAGCTCTTAAAAAATTAGAATTAGACGGACAGTCAGACGAATTTCTAAACAGACAGTCAGGGAGCATTAAAAGATCGTAAGGCAGACACCATTTAATTCGCAACTATTGGTGTTTCTGCAATAACTGAAAGATTTCTATGGTAATACTATTTTTTGAATCGATCAATAATTTTATGAATTTTCCTCTAACTGTCGCTGTTTTAGTGAATATTTCCATTTTTGTACTACAAGTATATTTTTCATTTCTACTCACCATCGATATGAAGTAGTAGTTCTCGAACTCCTGCTCTTGGGCCTTGAACTGCGTCTCATTGTCCCATTGAAGTTGTGCAAATTTCTGCAAGGTTTCTGCACCATCACTAGTGAGCCAAGAGGTGACCTAGAAAGAGTTGTAAAATCATAAATGAAGCTACTCATACTATATTTTGGAAATGTAAAGCCTTCACACATATTCGAGCATGCATAGACAATGTGTGAGGCGCCCACGCCTTAGGTTTGGCCAAGGTTGGCTACACATTTCATTTAATGACTGCCTTTCTCTCCCCTTCCTGCCCCTTTCGGTGTCTTTCTCTCTCGATGGCTAAACGAAAAGTGAAACTCATATACTTGTATAAAATGGACGCGCTGCTCTAATTAGCCTCCAATTTACAAATTAAAATCCAATCGAACACAAATCATATAAAATGATTGAAGAATTTCCGCGGCCAACTCCCTAAGGTATTAGGTAGTAAATACAACAGCAACAGCATCACCAGCAACTCCAACAACACCAACAAGCCGGCGTTTGGGGCTTGGGGCAATCAACGATCTCACATTGATAATTTTGTAGCTCTAACCAATTTTTAATCACCTGCTGCGTCCAATTGAATTGATACAATCGAAGACGCAGGCGCAGGTAACGCATCGCCAGACATTGGCTGTGGTTTGTTAACAGGTGGAGGTGGAGGTGGGGACAGGGACAGGGGCAGGGGCAGAGACTGTGGCAGCGACCACTGTTAGTGCTGTTTTGGGACGCCACGCGTGCGCCGGCGCGTTCACTTTCCGTTTTTGGTCGTCTTTGTTGCCGCCGTTGTTGCTGTTGTTGCTGTTGCCGTCTTCGATCTTTGGCTTCGAGATAATGCCAAACGGTTGCACCTACTTTGGTGTGGGCTACGGCTATGTCTACGCTCTTGGGGCATGTCTACTGCCACAAGCTGCGGCTGCCACGTCCTCCCCAATGAATGAAATGAGGCACAAAGCACTGCCTGCGCTCCACTTTTCAGATCCAGATTCAGTTTCAGTTTCAGCTTCACAGTTGCCGCACACAATCAGCGACTGCGACTAAGGCTTTTTGTACTTATCAGATACGACACGTACATATGTACACATATACAAGTATGTAAGTATGTATGTGTGTTTATACTATATGTGAGTGTATGTAATGACTAGCCGGGTTGCTTTATTGTTTACATGAGGCTGTGAACGGCCTTTTTAGTTGTGCTTTTAAATGTTTATTGCCTTCGACGGCGACATCTCTGAAATGGCATTTGTGAGATTTGTTTCTCAACGATTGCCACACGCAATCGTAAATAAATTAATTGATTTGGTTCAATGAAACTTTTAGTACGGCACTGGCGTTGGCGATAATCGGCAGTCTAGGCAGCGTGGGTTCCGCTGCAGGGACAGCTGTCGAGGCTTAATTCATTGATGATGCATTGGTCGTGTGTTTTGAAGAGGAATAACAATTGCATTGACAGAACGGGAGTGTCGAATACATACGTGTATATATACTTGTATATGTGAGGGCGGATCAGCCTACTGTGCTGGGCCCTTGGCCAGCCAAGCCTAAGACCCCAAGTCTCTTTGTGTGTAACCACCACTTGCGCAAACAATAGATCATTTTGAATTTGACCTCATTGCGATTTTCACATTAAGTCAAAGAAATAGTCATTCTAATCAGCTGGCAACTAACTACTTAAAATGCTCATTCAAAGAAGCAAGCCTTCTTCTATTTAGTTGAGCTTTAATCTCAGTTCCAACTTGCTTGTGGGTTGGCTTTAATATAACTTCTATCATAATTTTTGCCTATAAATTGATTGATGATTGCATATTCAGAGAAATACACAAATGCCATTCCACGCTAAGATGTTGTCAGCATTTGATGTTCGAAACAACAATTATAAATATTACAACTAAGATAACAAGTGTTGACTACTTTTTAGCTTAAAAAGAAGGAATGAAATATTTTATGAAATGCACTGACAATCTGAAAACTAATAGACAAATGTTGTACCTTATTTCCAAAAATTAGTGCTTACTTCAATTAAAAAAGGCATTTGTTAACTTTCGTAACACTTTCTATATACATGAGATAAGTATAGGAAGCTAATTGAGTTACGTACTCCTTTCGAAAGCACCTCAGAGGCGCAACCTAAAAATGCATAAAAGTCAATACAAGATTGTTACATTACCAATGTGATATGACATAGATCTAAAGACATTGATCTCAGAAACCTTCCAAATCGAACTATTCTCTAATAAGAAGAAAGAAATTTGATCCATCAGGTCAATTAGTGAAGAGCCGCTGTATTTGGGGAGCTCTTGAAATCCTAAAAATCACATTTCAAGCAATATTATTTATAGAAATAATTAAGGAGACTCTTTATCAGATCCTATAGCATAGCTTATTATCTTCTCGACTTGGCTTGTTAAACAAAAAAAATAAATAAATAAATTTCTTTAAAATGTGTTTTTAGAATATTTAAGTTGTCTTAAAACATATCAATAGATAGACCATGTTTCGAAGACTCTTTTCGATTCATTTTAGACGCACATAATTGGCAATTCCAGTGGCCACATGTTTGGCTGCCTTTTCACATTCACTAAGCGTTGACATTGTTGTATATACTTGTAGTATAATTGTTGTTCACTATCTCTTAGTGCTGCTCATTACAAAGAGCGATCGATAACGACTCGCGGGCTGCAGCCTAGAGCTCAGAAACGCAACTGAAAATCAAGTGGCTGCTCACATGCTCATAATGAGCAATTTTCAATTTCCCGTCATCGACGCTCAATGAAATTCAATAAAATCAAAACAATTAGCGAACGTAAACAATGGGCACTGGGACGGAGAGTCAGACTGGGAACTTGTGGAGGGGAACGGAGCAACAGATACAAGGCGGCGGGCAGCTGGCAGCACATGACGATGTCGTCGACGACGATGTTGCTGTGACGGCACAAACTTTGTTTTATGCTTGAATTTGCTTAGCTAAGTAAATAGGCGAGCATATCGCCGTCCACTGCCTCCTCTCACTCTTTTTTTTTTTCAGTGATGTTCAGATGTGTTGGTGCGGTATAAAGTAGCCGCCGCATTGTACAAGACAGCGTCAAGACTTCAACGCCACACACTGCGCTGCACTGAACCATGGGTAAGGAGGTCGATGCTTTATATAGTTTCTATAAAAATGTACCTACAAGTATATAGAGAAATTTTATTAAACTAAATGCTATTCATTTAAAATACATATGAATGATGGAATATTTATAGACTGTCAGTTAATAGACATTATATACATCTGCTAAAATATTCTCCGAGCTGAAATTGAATGTATATAGCCTATGTCGACAGCCTATTACTGCTGATGAAATAATTAATGAATAAAATAAGTTATTTTTTAAAAAAGATATTGCTACGAAATTGTGACTATTAATTTAGAAATCCGATCAATTTAAATAATGAAGTTAATGTACATTGTACTCTTATATCAACATATAATATTAATCTCTTATTTTTAGTGAAATATTTAAGCAAAAATTACAATTAATATATTCGTAAACACAATCAACAATTTGCTTCAATGTCTTTATGCGGGGTCTGGCATAGCTGAACCAGCTTCCAGGAGTTTGTTCTAGAGTAGGCTCCGGATCATACAAAATGTTATTGGTGTGGTCTTTAATAATAAAAATGCCAAATTGTCACGCCATGCCCAAAGCTTGCTGGCCAATTCGCACGACAATAAGTAATAAAAATATTTATAAAAATATTTATTTATTTAACACGGTTTGAAAATTAAAATTGTTATATATCCCATTCTTATATGGGTTCCTATCTACATTATGTATGTGATTTAAAAAAATAAACATACATCCTTGTTTTTTCACTGATTTTAAAAAGTTGTAAAGATGAGGAACCAATCACCTATTTTAGCATACTTTTTTACACGGTTTTTTATAGAACCAATCCATCATGTAAAAACAGAATTAGGTATCTATATTTGTATGTATGTATATAAACATATCGTAATGCAATCTTATATTTTGTAGCTAGGTACAAATCTTTTTATTCTCGAAATACAAGTATATACTAATATCAAGAAAAATTCCACATTTCATGTTTTCTAAATAAATCCCTACATCATTGATTTCTATTGATATTTTTTATTTTTTCTTTATATTGATATATTGAAAGATTGAAATCAATGACGAATAATTTATGGTCTCGATTTCAAAATTGAGATTGTTTCGCACTTGATTCAAATTTATACTTGAAAAAGTATGTATACGCAAAAGCCCTTAAAATTGTAATTATCACATGGAACACTCAGTGAATTTTTGTTGTTACATTTTTATATATACAGTGAAAACTCTCGGCCAATTTTTGTCCGCTTAAGGGGATACTTAAATACTTAATACACCGATCGAGTGTTTTTAGAAAAAGTGTCCGCCGAAGAGAGTGTCCGGATAAAAGAGGTGTCCATTAGGGGAGTTTGCAGTGTATTTTTTAATTTTATGGTCTGTTCCATTGGGGCTTGATTAAGTCTTACCAGAGATGGCCCACAACCAACAAATTCCAAAAAAGGTAAAATGCCATTTTTTATCAACAATTTTTTCGATATATCCCACAGTGCATGCACCAGTGCATTGGAGTCGCAGCATCGGCGGCGATAACACACACACGCACACACACACACTCACACAAATGAAGACACACACACACGCACACACTCATGTTTATTTGCTTGCAACTGCTGCTGCGGATGTCGTTTCTTCTTTTCTTTGCTTTTTTTTTTTGTTTGGGCTGATAAGCCAACTGAGCTGATTGTGTGGCATTGCATATGCCGCAGAGTTGATTGCACTCTAAAGCTAGGCAACTATTTTGATACGCTGCTGATAGAACTGGGCAGCAGTAGTTAAAGTTGTTGCGGGGGAATGAATCGCAAATTTAATGTGACAGTTTTACAAGTTGGTCGGCAATGCCATAAAACACATGCAAAATAGTGCCACCAACACCTACAACGACAGCACCAACTATAATAACAACAACAATAACAACAACAGCTGCGTCAACTAGCGCCAAGCTGTGAGCATCTGTTGCGCATGCGTAGCTCCGCTCAGTTCATG